TGCTACACACTCATGAACAGTAGGTGGCGGTATGCACCTTAAAGTTGCTTGCGATCCGCCATGATAGAAAAGAAGAAGTGCAAAGAGGGCGGAACTCAATGGTGTAACTTGCTTGCGCCCGGTGCAGAATTAACGTTGCACCACAAAGCATCCCCTGAAAGAAGCGAACTCATTCAGGCTTTCTGTTTGAAGGTAAACGTGCCTCATTAGTTTTGTTATCGAAATTAGATTCATGAATTGTTTCAAACGTATTAATTACCCCCACGACTAAGTTGCTGTACTAAGTATTCTGTAAACAAGTGAAATATTTGATGAAATATAAGGATCGGTTCCCTTTGTTTCTGCGCACGGTGGCTAACATGCTCACTGCTAACTTATCAGCCGCTTACGGGAACATAATTTAAAAAACAGATGCTGAATTATATCGCTTACGACGGTTTTTGTTTGCTTTTAAGTGTCATTTGTGTTTATTAAACATAAAATATATTTGCAGGTTCAAAGTTTAAAGGCAAAAGATGTTTTTGACCAGATCGGAATATGACAGGTAAGTGCTGCACAAACTGCTTTGTCATTTATTGTGTGCGTCTAGATTATAAAAGTAAAATCAGACCCAAGAAGTGGGGTGTCACGCTCTGCTTAGTGCTATGAAGTCTTATGCTCACAGTATATCGAAAGAGGTATTCAGCAAAGCGTTTATTTTTCTCTTTCATGTACTTTTCTGTTTTGGTCGTTAGCTAACAGCTAACTGTACTGTTATAAAGGAAAAGTTACTTTCAGTTTCGTTAGCACATTTTTGTCCTTTCTTAAATCGTTATTATAAATAATTTAGTAGTATTATATGATTGTTTTATGCTAATAATATTTTTTATGACAATGTTTGCTTACAACTGTGCTAAAAAGTTCAGTTTAACATGTTTGTTGAAATGTCCTTAGCTTGGTTTGTTAACAGATATTACTTTTTTTCAGAGGTGTAAACACATTTTCACCCGAAGGAAGATTGTTTCAGGTTGAATATGCCATAGAGGCAATAAAGGTTAGTACCTCATGTTAAATCTTAGCTACATTTTATTGATCCTCTCTCTAGAGCAGGAGTCTTCAACGTTTTCCAGTCCAAGGACCCCCAAACCGATGGAGCGGGGAACCTGTTAATTATATATATTGTGTCAAATTGTGTTATATCAAACTGGTCCTATAGCCATTCTATTACAGATGGAGTAATGTAACAAAAGTGGAGGTGTCAAATAATGAAGTACAAATACTTCGTTACTGTACTTAAGTACACTTTAGGTATCTATACTTTACTCCATTACTTATTTTTCTTCCTACTTCTGACTTCTACTCATTACATTACATTTTTAAAACAAACTTCAGGGCTCGATGTTAACCATTGCCCGATCGCCCGGGGCAAGTACTTTTTATTGTCGGGAGAGTACAAATTTCATTGCATTTGCCCGCCGGGCGAGTGCAGTGATCGCAAAAATTTTTATTTATCACTCAAAATTACTTTAAAATCACCGACATTAGCTGAAAACGACACAGCTGGCGCTATT